TAAATAAATAAAGAAACAAATAAAAACTAAAATATTGAAACTTTAAATATTAAATTTTTTTATAAAAAAATTAAAATATTTTAAATACTAAAAGTTTTGATTTTCTTTAACCCAATAAATAAAGGATTTAACAAAAAAGCGACTTGATGCTTTCCAGAAAAGCAACCAATAGAAATATAGGTGAAATGGAAAAAACACGGTTTGGTGCTTTTCCAGGAAGAATCGTCCAACTCTGTCTTGTCGTCTTTTTTGATCTTTTAAATTCTCAATCTCTCTCTCACTTTTTTAAATTTTTAATTTTTTTAATGTTCATATCATTTTGTGGGTCCATTAATATTTCTTTAACAACGAAATTATTAGGGGTTAAAGTAGTGTTGTTTCCCTGAACTTTCAAATTTTATAAAAATTTGTCCCTTAAGTTTTTTTTAAAACTTTTTTTTTCTTTTTAACTCTTTAATTTTGTGTGGAAGGCCTTTAAGTTTATTGATTAAATCTCTAACTGTAAAAAATTTTCTCATCCATTAATGAGAATTCAAATCTACATAACCCCTTCCTTACCTCTTTCCTTTTCAGGTTGAATCACTTACTCTGTATTATAAAAAACTTTCTAACTTGATTTTAAAGTAGTTTATTTATTAATTATTTAAAAAGTTAAAAAGATCATTCTGGTACTAATTATTAAAGTTAATCTAGTAATTTCAAAGTTGGGGTTAGTGTCTCATATATTGTATCCATTGCATATGCTCTCAGTCTCGCCAGATTGTTTCCATTGCATGACCAAGACAGTCAGATTTCCACTGCTAGATCCTTCTCTTCTGCAAACTGTCACCATCCTTATTCCTGTGTATCTCACTTTCTCTCCCTAGGCCAAATTGAGGTATATATATACTTCTGACCTCAATTTTTTTTTGTTTAAATGTTAAATTTCAATTTTTCATGAACCTATTAACTAATAATTATAATCTTCTCCGTTGGCTAATCAATCTGATCAGATTTTGCATAATCAAAGGCTCAACTGAAAGAGCCTTATTCTCTCTACAACCTTTGCAACTCTCCTCCTCTCTTTCCATTAGCTTGAAGCATTGAAAAAAAATTAAAGCTTATATATTTTGGAAGGTATGCATACATCTCTTTAACATCTTGATGTTAGATTTTGTCAATCCATCTGCTAATTGATTTCTTTGTAAATATTAATTAATTTTGAATAAGTGTTTGCTTTTTCCAACTCCTAATTAATTAATGAAAATTTTCTTTTTGTTCAAAGGTCTTTCTAACCAAATTAAGGACATATTAGCTGCAAATTTTCTCTATTAATTTAAAAAAATAAAAAAATTAATTTTATTTTTAACATGTATGGTGCATAGATGTTTTTAATAATAAAGTTAGCTTTTGCAAGGTTTTTAAAATCGGACCGGACCGGCTGATTGAACCGGTCGGACTGGTATCCGGTTATGAAAACGGTTCGATTCACATAAAAAAACCGTTTAAGGTCAAAACCGGTCAAAACCGATAAAAACCGGTCAAAACCGATAAAACCGGTTAAAAACCGATAAAATTGGTAAAAGCCGGTAGAACCAGTGGAACCAAAAAAACCACCGGTTCAATTTCTCATGCAATCTTCTTTCAATTTTTTCCAATTTCACCATTCCCATTCCTTTTTTATACCCATTTTAACCTTTAATTTTAACAAAATTACAAAATTATCAACACCAAATAAAAAAATCCATGCCTATAGCTTGCTCCTCTCATCAAACCTTCCTTATTGTTTGGACCGGCCGGTTCATCGGTTCAACCGGTTGAACCGGTCAAACCGAAAACCAAACCTGAAAACGGTTCAATGACCGGTCCGGTTTTGAAAACATTGGCTTTTAGTCACAATTATAAACTCACTATTTAAGATAACATTATAACTAATATTTTTGTTTATTTTTTTCAAAACAATTAATAAAATACATGTTAAAAAAATTCTTTTAAATTACATACAATATTTTTAAAAATTTTCGACTCATAAAATAATTACATCATAATATATATATATATATATATATGAAATAGTACCCATTGGCTTTAACTTCAAAAAA